TAAATCGTTCCGAACGGTGGCATCTCGCCTTCGTAGAGCGGGATCTGGTGGTCGAAGGGCCGTCGTTCCGGTAGTCGATTCGCGGCCTCCTCGTCGAATACCTCGAGGAATTCATGAAACTCCCGCGGTATGTGTTGAGCGCCTTTGTTGTGTGTCGTAGACAGTCCCCGATTGTCCACGACATTCGGATTCTTCGGACTTCTCGCCTTGAACGCCTTCAAGACGTAACTGTCTCTCGGTCGTTGAGGGTCTACCGGTTCCCTGGTCAGGACTCCCATGTTACCGGTCCCCTCCGTTCGTAATATCCTTCGGAACTTCTTCGCCGAGATGAGGCGAACGCTCAGGTCGCCTCGTGGCGGGATGTTTATTGTTTTCTTATTCCAGTCGAACTCCACTTGGTGTTGGGCCATCCATAGGCTCCCTAACACCATATCCTCAGATAGTCCTTGCACCAGCTCGAAACGGATCGTCCCTTGCCAGCCTTGTATTTTGACAGGGAGGTCCACGAAGTGGTTAACCTCTGAGATGGTCCCGTCGAATTGTTCGATTTTCATAGCTTTCTGATATTTACGGGCCTGGACGTTGTTTTCTCGGATTATCGATAGCGGCATATGGTTCATTGTCGATCCTGTGTCTATTAGACACTTTATTTTTGGGTTTTTCGGTAGTTGAGTAGAAACGGTCGCGTATATGGCGGAGTCATCGTCCACTGGGGTATCTTCCGGAGCTCGTGTATCGGTTTCGGGTTCGTTTTGCCCGTGATGTCCTCCCAGTGACGGGGCTTGGTAGGGCTGAGAGGTTTCTAGTTTCCCTCTGCAGGGGATTGAGTGAGGATCCCCAGCGGGTGGGTACGGGCGCCTTTCATCTTGGGGATAACGGGGGCCGCACCGATCCTTTCTCGCGCTCTCTGTTTCCTTAGGGGGCAGTCTCCCCACGACTCATGCATTTTCCCGCAGTAGAAGCATAGTCCTAAGCGTTTACGGCGATCCATTTCCTCCTTCGAGAGTCGGCCTGAAGAGTCTAGGTTCTTCTTATAGTCGTCTCGAGTGGTCGTCGTGACGGAGTCCTTTTCGGTGACGATAGTTTCTCTGCCGTTGCCTCGATAGGTAGTAGTTCGAGACTTCCGCTCCTGGGTATTGGGCTTCCTCTGGAGGTTCGTCTGTCCCTGGTACGAGTTGGAGCTATGGGTGTCTCTACGCTCCTTCTTTCTGGCCTGGAGGCGGTTGTCGATCCTAATGGCTTGGTCCACCAGGTCGTTGAAGTTTTCCTCCCTTCCTTCCCTCGCCACCTCGTCCTTAATCTCGTCCTTCAGTCCTCCGTAGAAGGTAGTGGGGAGGAGCCGATCATCCGAGGGGTAGCGGAGGTAGCCATTATTGCCGGAACTTGGTGGCGTACTGGGACACTGAAGTTCGTTGGTGCAGCGTCGTAAACTCCCTTTCATAGGAGGCCTTTCGGTCCGGGTCTCCCCAGTTACGGTCCAGCTCCTTGCAGAACTCCTCATAGTTCGTCATGAAGTGGGGTTGGTCCGCCTCATCCATGGATCGGTACTGTCGGTACCAACCCTTGGGTCCTCCTTCCATCATCCCTCCAACAAGCCTGATCTTCCTGTCGTCGGTGTTCAGGCTCTGCGGGTTTAAGTCGATCCAATCGTTACAGTCGGTGAGGAAGTCGAGGAGGTCTCCCTTATAGCCATTGAACTTCTCCATGTTAGGCGGGAACTTGACATCCTTTGGCTTCTCCTCGTTTGACTTGATCGCGTTCGCCATGGTGTCGAGATCCTCTTCGATCCGTTCGCTTGTGTCTCTTCCCGTCCTTCGAGAGGTGACTTGGCTTCCCGCGCGCTCGAGGCGGCGCTGCAGATCTTCGTTGTCTGCGCGAAGCTGGGTAACTTCTTGGGTCTGATCCTCCGTTCGCTGCAGAAGCTCCCTCGTAAGTTGTTCGAGATTAGCGATCCGTTCGCCTTGGTTTCGGGGTCGAGGGTGAGGAAGCGTCGGGGCATTCGGGCCACTGGTATCCTCGGTACCCTCCTGAGTGGGTCGGTTCCCTTGAGAGGTTTCTCCTTCGTCACCCACGGGTGTCGATCCCCTGATGGGAGGTGTTCCACTCATGCTGGTAGCGGGGTTCTCCATTCACGGCACGCTGATGAAGCAGACTATTCTTCTGTAAAACGCCGATGTCCCAGACTCGGGGTCTGTCGTAGAGACTGGGGTGGCTCCGTCCACCGTAGTGACCCGATACACGGACAGTGCTATCACCAACGGGATGTTACCGTCGTCACTGTCGCCAACAGTCGTCAACTGTCGTGGATTGATAGAGAGTCGCCAACGATAAGCGCTCCCCTCCGTTACTGATCCAGGCAGGTTGCTCGTAGTGTATCGCCGAGTCGATATACGTATTTCGTAGTTCATCTCGGCGGGATTTAGCTTCCTCGAGAAGAACGCAATAGGCTTCAGCTTGCCATCGAGTAGCTGGGACAGGATGGCCCCGATAGCAAAGTCGGAGGCGTCCGTTTCGATGGTTATTGGTGCTCTCGGGTCGAAGTGGTGGATGATGTCTCCCTTCGCAAAGGCGTCCTTTATAGCGGTGAAGGCGGCTTCCGCCTGGTCGTTCCATTCGTACTTCCTCGTTGTCTTCGTGAGGTCCGTGAGAGGACCCACCAGCTTCGAGTAGTTTTTAATGAAGTGGCGATAGAAAGGTATCGTCATCTTGGATTGTGGAGGCTATCCACACAGTTGGATCTGTCCTTGTCCTCATATGACGCCGACACACACAACGATGACGAGCGACGTCCTTTGGGCGTCGTCCTCGCCCCTTGTTCGCTCCCCTCGCTCTCGCTCGCGAGACCCAGTCTGCAGGCATAAAAAGCCGGCCAACTCGTCACT